ATTTCACCCTTTTCATTCCTAATTGCATGGATTTGGGCCTTTTCTTTCCTTTTTCTGAGAAGGTTGGCAAAGGGTTTGTCAATTTTGTTGATTTTTTCCTCTGGGCTGGGAGTGGCGGGAGGGATGGTGGCCCAAAAGCCCTTTTCTCTCTGTAAACTGCATTCTTAACAAAACCCTTGTAAATGCAACAGGTTGATAAAGCACTAGAACAAACACATGTCAAGATAGTGGCTTTTATGGGAATATGCAATATTTCAAAGCTCCCAACATTACCAAAGTTACAGAGCATTTCTTTAGAACTAAGTCATAGCTACTCAGTGGAAGTTCTTGAGCTCCCTTAAGAACTGTGAGAAAATTGCTTTGAAGCAGTGAGCACTTAGGAGCCTTCCTGGGATAAGTGCTGGGTATCACAGCTCTTCTGGCTTTTAGGGAACCACATCATTTTTCTTAGAATTTTTTCTGACTTAATATTCTGAACTGACCAATTGTACCACATTTAATTAGTGTTATTTGATAATTATGAAGAAGTAGTGACACTCATGTAGTACTTTAAATACCCAGTTTTAATACAAAATCTACAGTCTAAGTCCATCTAGTCAGGCATGTATTATTTGAAAACATTAAGCGTATATGGTGCGTTAAGTAAACACTGAGCCTGTTTTCTATAATGTAATTTTATGATTTTTCTCAAACTGTTTAAGTTAACACTCGTAGTTTTTCCATCTTAAATACAGTGTCTAGAAACCACTAGAGGGGAGCAAGTCAAGCGTAAAAATTGGCTTTTTCTCTAAACTAGAATGTCAAGGAAACCAAGGTGGGAATCTATCCCCACTCCCTCGCCTGCCCCATCCACAGCACCTACTATGAAAACCTGCCTCTCCCTAGACCCCTTCCTCTAGCTGGAAGTCGGCCGGCCGGAGGGAAGTGAACTTTGGAGTGTCTCATAAATAAAATTCCATCTACACTTCCCAGAGTCTCCCGACCTTCACATCTTTACAGGGGTCCAGCAAGCCCTCTGTGGTCCCCACCAGTGGGGTCTCTGGTCTCCACTCCAGGCCACTGCGCTCTCCTGAACCGGTTCCTCTCCCGTTTCCTCTCCGCTGGCCTAATCCAGGGCGCAACGCTCCGTTCCTTCAAGAACCCTTATTTAATGAATCAGTGTCTGCTTCATCCCTCTTTCTTACAGCCCCCTCTCCCAGCAACTCCGACACCTGTTCCAAGGGCAGCTGGCCGGAAGCCTCTTTCCTCCTCGCCCCACGGAGAAGCCGCGCGTAGTCCCTCCCCTCCGCCGCGGAGTGGCGTCTCCGCCGCGCGCTCCGCCCCGGCTCCCTCTCCCATCCGGGTGAGCTCCTTCCTTCTTCCACTCGTCCAATGCCTGTCGGGAAGCTCAGGGGTAGCCCTAGTTCCTCAGCGGCTAAGCAGGCGCAGTCAGAGGCTAACTACTGAGCACCTCCCTGCGCCTTTGGCGCCTCACTTGGCCCCAACCACTTCCCAGCGCCTGGCATTCCACCCAGCCCCTCCTCCTAGCTCTTCTCAACTTTTCCAGGCCCCAGCCCTGCCCCAAGCTCTCCAAGTGCCTGCTCCCAAGGGAACTGTCTGCAGGCTGGTGACCCACGTGCTGGGACTACTAGTCACCACTGAGGACAAGGACGATGGAGCGACACTTAGAAGTGTCCCCCACCCCGGTGCCTCGGTTGAACCTACTTTAATGACTGGCTTGCTGTGGATGCCCCGTGTCGCTGCCATTGCGAGTTTTCCATGCGTTAGGGGAACATTAGGAATAAATGGTGGACAGAGGAAATAAGTAGGGATCTAAGCGTTGCCATGGACGCTCATCTTCATACCCTAATTGTACTTGTTTTACTTTACCTCCTCTGTTCTCTCCTGCTGAGAGTTGTTGGACGCGAGTCATGCATGTTTGCCTATGGATGCGCGCGTTTTTCATACCACACAGCGTTCCCTCACTTCGCTCAGTGTGCCTTTTCCTTCCCTTTTCCTTCACGTCTGCTCTAGACTGATCGCATAAATCCAGATGACATAGATTTAGAAAATGAGCCCTGGTATAAATTCTTTTCAGAACTGGAGTTTGGACGCCCGGTAAGTGAGGCTAGACTATTACTATAAAACAAATAGGAGAATGTTGTTTGATTTATAAAACATAGCTATGATCAGAGGAGAGAGGTGTCATTTAGCGAACCAAAGTTGAATGTGTAACACACGCTGAGATGTGGTATGCCTTAACCGCATTCACCTCCACACCAGCGCTTTAATGTGCTCAGACACTTCTATATGTTTTTTTTTTTCAAAATCATGCACTAGGGTTGGTCTATATATAATTAATTGAAAATTTGGTATGTTGAGATAGTTTTTACTCTGAAATATGTAGGCAATCGATTAGCTTAACAGATTTGTACTTGTTTACAGTTCATTTTGGTCAAGTTCAAACAAGAGCACCTTGGCATTTATAATAATCATTATTACTGTAGCTCTCATTTGCTGAGAAATCACCAAGCCCCTGGAGAGTTCTGGTTTCGGTACCCATTAACTGTGATTCCTCCTGAAGCCCCTCCAATAAGAAGAAATCAGAGAATTTGCCCAAAACAGTAAAAGGCAGAGTCAGAAGTTAAACCTAGGCCTGTCAAACAAACTCAAAAAACATCTCTGGGCAATTTTGACAATTATATGCTGTAATATGCTGCCAAAATATTACCAATAGGAACATAAAGAAAAAAACATTAAACCCTGTGGTCCTTGATTTGGTTGGAAAACTGCCACTGCATCTCCTCTAATCCCCAATCCCCCAACAGAGGGAGCCCCCCTTGGGCCTTATGGAAATTGCTAGGGATGAAGAGTTGATTCAGCTTCAAATAGCAGCCTCCTTTAATAATTTGAGTTTTATTTAGGACCTTTATCTACCAACAGTAATGCATTAGATGTGTCAATCACATGTTTTATGAATTTTAAACTCATGTTACATACCAATTACATACAACAGCTTTTATTAGATACCAGAGAGCATGATCTTTCTTTTACCGTGGCATATTCAGATTTATATACTTGTACACTGAACACGCATTACATATTAGGTGGTTTTGGCAGTCCCTTTCATTCACTAGAATGCAGAGATTAGGTTAGATTCATTATATTTTATTGAACTTAATCAAATGTAACTGTAAATGAATATAAACCAAATAATTTTTCTAGCATTTCTATTACCTAATAGGAAAAATATTTTCTCATTTTTTTCTAATTTGTTCTATAGTATTAGCATAAATGCATTTTATTTCAGAGGGAAAAGATCCTCTAGCCTTATTTTATATGTACTGTTTTATTGATTAGAGAGTTTACAGGGACCATACCAATTTCAGTAATGAGTCTAAATTGTTAGCATTTTTTATAATCATTTTCAGTCACGCAGTGGAAACTCACCAGCATGGTATCCACTTGCTCCTTTAATATGTCTTTAATGGGCCTTGCATACCTCTGTGGCCAAAGACTAGGACTGCTAATTTTGATTTGAGAAATGAGTTTATAAATATACTAATTGAACATGAGCAATTTTTTCCCAGTGCTTGAGAATATTTCCAACATTGAACTCTTCCTCCTAGGCTACCCCATTTTGCTCTATTCATGTCACTCTTTGTGTGTATCTGATGCTGTCAGGACTTAGTTTCTAACTGTTAAACTGTTGTCACCTTTTCCACATGTCCATTCCTTGCTGCCATTGATTCTCCTCCATTCCATCTCTACACTCTGCTTATGTGGTGCATCTACACCCAGCCTCCTAAAAAGGCTCTGGACTATGTTCAAGATCATTCTTCTGGTGTTTCCAATGAGGTAAAAACAAATTATTCTCTTTTTTTTTTTTTTTTTTTGGTACCGAGGATCGAACTTGGGTCCTTCCGCTTGCGAGGCAGGCGGCGGAACCACTGAGCTAAATCCCCGGCCCAATTATTCTCTTTTTTCAGATCTCTATCTTAGAAGGTACTACTGTGCATCTGCACATCTGTGCCATACTGTTCACTATAATGTCTGAGCTAGTTCTGGAAATCTATTTTCATATCGTTGTGTTGCATTATCCAGTATCATTGCCTAGACATTTATTATACCAAAATTGTTGCTTATTTCTGAACTCCAAGTCAGTAATGATTCCAACTATAACCTTCAGTTAAACTACTCAGAGAAGGGTTGGTGTGATGGAACATACCTGTAATCCCAACAACTCAAGAGGCTGAGGCAGAAGGATCACAAGTTCAAGGCAAGCCTGGGCAACTTAGCAAGGCTCAAAATAAAAAAAACTAAAAAGAGCTGGGGATGCAGCTCAGCAGTCCATGGATTCAATCTCCAGTAATACAAAACAAAACTAAACACCAATGTAGCTTTGGTATTCAGCAGCACAAAGCTCACATATGAAAAATATTGGTCTTAGTGCATATATTAACTCTCTGGTTTTATTAGGCTTGTGTAAAATACTATTAGGCCTCTCAAAGATTTGTTGTTACCATGCTTAGAGATAGAGAATAATGGTTTAGGTTCTTGGATAATCAGATGCTTATATCCCACATATTCCTAAAATTTATTTTTATTCTTCCTTTTCCTTCCCAAATACTTGTAACTTGAAATCAGACAAGAATAGGTCTGAAAAAGACCTAGCATGTATGTTACAATTTCCCAAACCCAAACCCTTGACAGACATTAATAATCCTGTAATCTATGCAGCCATTATAACATACCATGACTGGCATATATATGAGATGCAAGTCCCTTGAAATCTTTAGTTAAGAATGCTTTTGGCAATCATTTGGGTGAAATATTTATGCCAATGTAAATTTCAGTTAGGCTAAAAGAGCATGGAAAACACAGAAATAATCCAAAGGTAACGCTTTTTTAACTCTGCTCTGTGCAAAGAAAAACAGAAAAGTTTATTGTAGAGAGCAAATAAAGGACTCATTGGAAGACACAAGCAAATATGGCACTGTTTTGCTCTGTAAGAGAGCTCTTAGAAACAGCTAAGATGAAAGCAAATGAAATAAACTAATTTTCTCACAGCACTTGATTTGTGATCTTAAGTGACTACAACACTTAATGAATAACACGTGTACATTAAAAAGTCTTAAATATGTGAAACTACAAAAACAAAACTAATTGAAAACTTTAAGTTGCAGTATGTACTACTGACACATAGTGGTGATCACTGGAATTGCAAGTATAAAGTCAGGAGGAGCTGCCTACGTTTTTAAAGCTGGTTTTCAATTTCAGATTATTTCCAGAGTAGTAAGCATGAAAATATGTGCTACAACAGGGAAGTGAATAAAATATTTATATATTAAATAAAAAGTTAAATGGAATAACATTGTAAGATATAGAATTCAGTCTTTTTTCTCCAAGACTTATGTTTTGAACCCAGGTATATATTCTGAACAAAATCAAATAAAATAAGTAAGTCTGCTCTGTATGTTATATTACCTTCATATATGAAGAAACAGCATTTTGCTAGTAGTTAAACTATTTACCATTATGTGTTGGGTTTAAGAGGGGTATGGTGTTTAATAGCATATTAACTATGTTAGTCTTTTAAGATCATGGTTTTTCAGAGTATATGAAAACACAATCTTATAAAGAATCTGATTCTGGCCTTAATAACCATTTGATTAGACATTATCTTAGTTACCATTTGTCAAGTGCCTGGTATATGTCATCAACAACAAATATACTTTTTAGTCCATAAGTCTAAGTGAGAAACTGCTATTAATGAAGGTTAAGTAAGAATTTTTAGGCAAAGTTTAATCACATGATTACTTAACAGTGATTCAGTGTCTATATATCACTCTAAAAATCTTGAAAGTATGTTAAAATAATAGTAATGTGTAAATACTCAGTAGATCATGAAAGGTAAGATGGGTTGTTAAAGCTTGTTTGCAATTTCTGGGGACAATTTGCATTTCAAAATGAATATCATTCATATAATTATTATACAACTTTTCTTCTTGGTTACCAGTCTATACATTTTACTATTAATACTGAGCTTTCTTTCAGTATAAATAAATTCAAAAACTGATTTTAGCTTATTTTGGTTGTGAAAATCAGTACAAGAAAAAAATAATTGTAGTTTCATGCACTAACTTCAAAATACAATTAGTTTATCAATTCTTACACTATCTCATTTCATATTACAATATTGTTTAGGTTTATCATAATCTGACAATTCAAAATCTCTGATCTCTGGAGTGTTCCAAGACTGTTCTGAATTTGTCCCTTTTTGTGATCAACTGTGTGTTAAGGTATCACAAGAAATTCATGACCCACAGATAGCAATGCTCTAAGACTCTTAAGTCCTGCTCTTCTGTAAATATATAGCACTAATAATTTCTAAATTGTAATGCAACTATCTGGGGCTTTTTTAGTTTTCTTTCTTCTTTACTGTTTTTCTATCTTTCTGCTATCTAATTAGGAGTACAATAATTTAAAATAACCATGAAGTTTATCAGAATAGTGCATTGTATTTTTTCCAATTTTATATTTGTTGAAAACTTAGGAATCTAAGTATTTTTAGGAACTAAAATACTAAAATATGTTTCTTCTGTCTAAAAGGAAGGGGAATATTACCATGCTGAGAGATGTTTTTGTTTCTTCCTGGACAGGTCTCCATTCTTACTGAGTAAAATAGAATTAAATGAAAATATTAAGTTAGTAGAAGTGATTTTAGACTTATACATAAGGAGGCATGTCAGATTGATCTACATAAAGAATTGAAAAGTTATGTACCAATGTTTTAATTGGTTAATTGCTACCAATTTATCAATTAGTAGAAAACAGAGTTGCAGAAATCATTTGTAAAGTCCGATTTAATATCCATTAAGTAGGCTTTTAATGCTCTGGTAAAATGTTTCTGTTTGATAGGATAAAACTTGTCAAATCTTACATTTCTGGCTGGCATTTTTTTAACTTTCATACAAACAAACATTTTCTTTTTTTTCCATTAAGTTTATTGGCACATTTTAGGTATATAATACAGTTACATTCATCATTGGGATCTTGTACCTTTACATGATGTATCTTGGTTCTTATTTTTTCCCCATTCCCCTGCCCTCCCTTCACCCCCTCCACCCTTCCCTATTTACAAAGACTTTGTTTCCATTTTTTTCTTTTCACATATTTTTTCTTTTCCCTTCTTTCCTTTCCCTACCCCTCCCACTTCCCCTACTCCTTCAGACCTTTTCTTCCTATTTCACAATATCAATTATACATTTTAATCCTTATTTCCAATTTCAGTTTCTCACACTAGAGAAACTATTTGGTATTTACACATGTGTGCCCTATTTATTTCACTTAAGAGTATGGCCTCAATGTGCATCCACTTAGCTATAAATGTCTCTAGTTTCTCATTCTTTATGGCTGAGTAGTACTCCATTTTATTAAAAAACCCACACAATTTCTTTATCCAGTCTCTAGTTGATGGGTAATTGGGCTGTTTCCAAGTTTTAGCTATTACAAACAAACAAACATTTTCAAACTAGACTTTCAGTTTTTAGTCAAACTAAAATTTGTCTAGGATGATGAATTGAGCATCAAGAGTGATCAGAGCCATACCTAAAGCCATCATACCTTTCCCCATGTATACTAGACATCATATCACTGCCACTTGCAATGTACCTCCGATATTCAGGAGCTCAATATTCATCCTCTCCTGCCTTTCGGATAACTTAGCATTTGTCCCAGTGGGTGGACATGAGAAATGAAAACTTTCTGTCTATTGTTTTTTGCTAAATTTTTTCAGTGTACAGTTCAGAATAAAGAAAAATGTTTAAAGTACATCTTTAAAAAGTTATATTTTGATTCTTTAGATTATTTATTTTAAACTAACGCTAAACTCACCTTATTTGAAATTTATAAATCTGTACCTGATTGAAGTCCAAGTTAGTTTGGTTCCAAATGAAATTCTGTGTGTTTTATTAAAATGTTGGAAATATCTCAAGTTCTGCTTATATGTTGTATTTTAAAGATAACGCTTGATAATGACAAAACAAAATTATAATGAAGTTGTTTTACAAGGACTGAAGTATGACTGCAAATTTTTTTTTAAAAATCAAACCCTTCTTTCTTGTAAGAAATTTCTTACAGTTGATCAATAGAAAAGATTCTGAAGTTAATGCTGTGGTATAACTTCAACTCTTTATTCATTTCAGTATATCTGAGGAAATGTTTTTGATTTTTATTTTCTCCCCATGAAATTAATACTTGATAACTTATAAGAGAAATGCAGTACAGTACATCAGAGAAAGTAGATAGGAGAAAGGTAGAAATCAGGTTCTCTGATTTCTTTCTCTTTGGAAAGACATTTTCGTAATCATACTAAATGATACTTCCAATCTCAATATTTATAATATTCCTTTCAGAGTACCTAATTTAATGTTGACAGACAAAATCTGTCATTGTAATCATTTTCTGTCTTCACAGGCCTCCATATATCAGTCCTCTATAGACAGAAGCCTGGAGAGGCCCAGCAGGTAAGAATATATATTTATATAACCAGAAGAGTCTATACCAATCTTTTAAAATAATTATATTATTCAGCAAAATGATCGTGAAGATTATACATCATTCATTTTAAGTACCACACCTCATGAAGTTAATTTGTTTTTCTGTATCATTGTATACTATCATATTCAAGAATTTATAAAACTAAAGTGAAATAATTCTAGATTTCTTCATAGACTGATAAGTTCTCTTGTCTTTGCTTTAGTCAGTTTTCTTTCTTTAAAAGGGGATTATACTAGTTAGGTAACACTTATGATATGTGTAAAACTTTTACAAAGTAGAAAATTATTACATGTATTTGTTAATCATATTCTCACCACACAAACCAGAAAGGCTTTTATTACTGATATATGACATATATAAGTACATATTATATAAGTACATATTCAACCGAATGACAGTACTATGAGTTAAATACTGTCCCCACTTTATTTCTGAAGAAACTAACACAGGCTCACTATTTTGTCAAGTTTTCACAGTTAGAAAGGAGAGAAACAAAATAGAATTGAGCTAAGGTAGCATGCCCCTCAGAGTCTGCTAAATGTTAAATTCTCTTAGTAGGCTTTAAATATCACACTTTTTTTTTTTTTTGGTACCAGGGATCAAACTCAGGACCTTGCACTTGTGAGGCAGGCACCATATCACTGAGCCAAATCTGCGGCCCTACCACACTTATTTTAAAATATTACTGAAATTCAAACATAGTTCAATAGCAGTACTGAATATTGCAAACATCCAGGCATATTGTATCATCAGCAAATATTTGTATAACATTAATTTGCCATTCTATAAATTTCTATCAACATCAGTAGAAAACTTTACAAGTCAGGTCCTTCATAAACTGGCTTCATGAGTGCCATGTAACTGAATTAATAATACAAAGAAAGGAACTCCACTAACTTTCTACTCTTTATCTTTGCACTGAAAATGTATGAAATATTTGAATTTTAGAGCTTCAGTCTGACCTAAGAGCTTACTGTAAAGATAAACAAACCATCATATGGCAGGATAGTCACAATAACTAAGTCTGGGAGATGGACACCCTCTTTAAGAGAATGCAGACAAATTCTGAGGACTGGCTCCAATTCTGTATTTCTCAGGCCGGTGTGTCCAGTTTGCTCATTTGTACAGATGCGATAACCTGTGATACCTCATAGGTTTCTATGTGGGCTAATTGAGACAAAGGTATAAATAAAGCACATAGCATCCTGCTGAGTTCCATAAGAGCCATACCTAGAATTGTCACTGTTTACCTAATTCTATCCAGCAATTTGACAGACCATATATACCATATCATGTATCTCTTCTTTCAGTAATGTTTTTCTTAAGTGATATTGCCCTCAACTCAAAACCTTGATAAAAATTCCCTGCTGTTATAGATTATCAACTCCACTTTATACAACCAGGTGAAAGGAATTTTTAATAGTTTATTTTCTGACCAGATTATTGGTCATTATTTAGGTGAAGAAGGTTGGAATTCCAATGGGAGGTCTTCCAAAGCTAAGGTTAGGGAAAAGCTACAAGTAATTCTTGAGATAATAGAAACTTGTTTTGCTAGATGTCTTCCTTTTATCCAGTTCTTGCCTCCATTTTGGCTTACCCTCCAATCCAGAAATATTCATATTGCTGGGATTCTACATTATATAGAAAAGATATATGTTACAAATCAAAAGACGGAAGTGTTGGTAATAATATATTCACTATAGCAGAAATTTACTTTAAAAGTTGATTATAAACATGTTCACAAAAAAAGAAAAACGTGCACATAGATGCTTATAGCTGCTTTCTCTATAATTGCCAGCACTTGGGAGTAACAAACATGTCCCTCAGTAGATGAATGGGCAAACAAACTGTGGTACATCCATATAAAGGATTATTAAGCAAGGAAATTAAATGAGCTATCAAATGATCAAAAAATAGAGGAAATTTAAAGTATATTACTTAGTAAAGGAAGTCAATCTGAAAAGACTGTATACTGTGTAGTCCCAACTGTGAGATTCTGGAAAAGACAAAGCATGGAGACAATGAGAAGGTCAGTGGTTCTGAGGCAGCAGGAACAGAGAAGAATGGATGAAAAGGTGATACATGGGGAATTTGATGATAATAAAACTGTTCTACATAATTCATTAGTGATGAACACATCTCATAAGACACTCTTTAAAGCACAGAATGTGTAGCACACAGCATGAATCATCATGTATACATAGACTTAAAATGATGACTTGTTAAGGTAGATCCATCAATGGTAACAAATATGCTATACTCATAGATGTAAATAATAGGGGAAAACATGAGCAAGAGAAAAGAAAGTTGGTACAGAGCAACTCTGTACAGTTGTTACTCAATAACTACTGAGACTTGCTCCCAGGACTCCCAAGGACACTAAAATCTTTGGATACCCAAATCTCATATAAGTAGCAAGTATTTGCATATAATCTGTGCCATCTTCCCATATCCTTTCTCTCTGGGTTAATTATAATGCCTAATTCAATATAAATCCTATACAAATACTTGTTACATTGTATTGCTTAGGGAATAATGATAAGAAAACAAATCTTCACATGTTCAGTGCAGATACATTTTTAAATTATTCCAACCCACAGTTGGTTGAATATATAGAGATACGGAGGGGCTGTGCTTTACAGTCAAGTTTTATGTAAGCTTAAAAAGAATAAGATCCGTAAGATGATTCTAAAGAAATCATTTTGAACATCAAAGGATGAGTTCCTCATAATGCAGTTTTGGGGGTGAAGGGGGTTAAATTTCAGGTATTAAATTGCTGTCTCTTGCATATTCCACAAGTCTCTCTAGTGCACTTGCTAACCTCTTGCAATGCCAGTCACACTGATGCTGCCCCTTCTTTCAGTTCTGCAAGCATGGCCAGTGACTTCAGGAAACGGAGGAAGAGTGAGCCTGCAGTAGGTCCACCCAGAGGCTTGGGGGATCACATTGCAAGGAGGACCAGCCCCAGTAGGGCAGACCTCCCAGGATCAAGCACCACTTTGACAAAGTCTCTCATTAGTTCTTCTCCTTCCTCCCCCTCAAGAGCAAAAGGTGAGCACCGATAAATGAACAACAATTTACTAGTTTAAGTTTTAGCCTATAATACATATGAGAGCTGTTATTTGATAGTAATACCGATATTTTCTGGCTTTTTCCCACAGTGTCTCAAATAAAATACAGCTTCAGAACAATAACTTTGTTTCCTCACAGTCTGACTTAAGCTGGTGAGCCACTTGGATGGTTCAAAGGATCTAGACAAGCATCTATTGATGCTTTATTTCTCCAGTTAAATAAATTATTTTTTAAACAAGTTCAAATAATTTGCTGTCAAGTCAACAGAGATAACATTTATAAACATTACAAGTAGTGGAAATTTTCTAACTTCACTATAACTAGCAAATTAGTCAAATATACAGACTGAGAATTATAAGTAGCAGTAGAGAAATTATTCCCTAAATCATCCATTTTTAAAATTTTAGGTAAAAAATTGTCTAATCTATTAAAGTCATTTCTTTAAGCATTTAGTCTATATTTTGTTCAATCTTCATGTATACAGTAGAATATTCATGTTCTACCTCTTAACACAGTGGTCAATTTATAGCAGTCCACAATAAGAACTAACTGGTTTTAATTCATAATTATAATTTAGAAATCAACAAGCCACTTTTCCAATTTCCTGCCTCCTCTTTGGAAATTCAGAGAGCTAAGTGTTGAAAGAGAATAAGTCACTCATTCTGGTCTCTGAAAGATCATTTAGTGTGTTATTGCTGTGGGGACAGCAATGTTTTTGAGATGGAGAGACAGGACTGAACCAACTCCCATATAGACCTAGGGCCATACCAAATTTGGAGCCCCACAATCTCCTCCAATCTCTTGGAGTTAGAACAGAAGAGAGGATAATTTTTAAATGTGTGAAGAAAATGAGCTCTAGCAGAAGTTTCCATGAAAAAGGACACATTTGGCTACATAGATCAATTGTAGGCACTAAAACTGTTGCCACTCGGCAGTTGAAGCCAATTAGCAGTTGAGTTGTATACGAAAGGCAAACTGGGTAGAATAACTGACTATGTTTAGGCAGGAGGCTGGGCCCTTCCAAGGCCTCTTCAAGATGTGAAGAGTGGCTGGATGCTTCAGAGGAAGGGAGCCCCATTCCTTACACTTCTTCTGGGTTAACAGAGATGCCTTTATTGGCCTCCACTCATTTACACAAATACCTTAAGATAACAAGTAAGTCATGAAATGGCATTGATTCATTATTCTTGGCTACTATCCAACACTTGAAAAGATTCTGACAAATTTAAATGTTTGTTTTATCATAGGGAGTGTTAGGTCAACTTCCTTTCCCAAATACTACATATCAACTTAATGTTCTTGGTTACTTTTGAAAAACTGAAGGAACACAAGTCATTAGTTGTTAATAGAGATATTTTCCTTCACTAGGTTTTATTTTAAAGAAGAAATGTCCTGTTAGATGTAATTTGGTCTCTCATTTACTAGAGAATTCAGCAGAGCAAAAGCAAACAATATTTCCATAGATGTTCCAAATTGAGGTCAAATTTAGCTTTCTGTTGTCAAATTGAAAATGAATGGTTTAATAAAAAAAAAACCTGTCCATAAAAGAAGCATGATTCATTTACCTCTGATGAAAGTTTACATTATATCCAGTTATCCTTAAAAGAACAATGTAGCTAATAAAGGTTGAAGGTGAGCAATTAAAGAAATAAATCAGTTTGTTTAAAGAGGATCTAGTTATTTTATTGTTGAAAAACATATTGGCAGCAATAGTTCACAGTACTTTGATTTTGCAACTTTAGAAAATATTTTTCCTTACACCTTCTTCTATCCAAAGCCCATGAAAAATTATTTAATACAGTTATGAGAATATTCATTAAATGTAAAATTATAATTACTTTTTACCTGTGTATTATCACAAGTCAAATGAGCTTCAAATCCTCACCCTATTAAATTGATTAAGTCTATAACAATTTTGGCATGAATTTTTAAGCCTGTAAATTACTACCAGAGCATGATATTAGCTTAAGAGATACAATTATTTTGTTTCTCTTTTTTTATACCATATTGGCAAAAAGATCTATGAATTATACAACAGAAATGAGTATATTAACTACACTAGCTACTTATTATATATGGTTTTGTTGACTCTAAACTCTGTAACGCTACATTCATTGAAGAAGTATTTTCATGCCTGTAGAATTAGACCTTTTTCCTCTAAAATTGAAGCTACATGTGTTAACAATCAGTGTCTAGATTAAGCCACACTAACTGGTTTCTCTTTGCTGTGCTGTCTGATGCTGATATACTCTCCTCTCTTTGTGAACCTTTTAACTTCTCTAAACGTCTCTCTCTTGCCACGCTGCTCTGGATTAAAAGGCGGGGATGATAGCAAAATATGTCCATCCCTTTGCAGTTACTCAGGGCTCAACGGCACCCCCTCCAGTGAGTTAGAGTACTGTAGTCCTTATAGACAGCATCTGGATGTCCCGAGGGACTCACAAAGGGCCATCACTTTCAAGAATGGCTGGCAGATGGCCCGGCAAAATGCAGAGATATGGAGCAGCACTGAAGAATCCGTGTCCCCCAAAATCAAATCCCGTAGCTGTGACGATCTCCTGAATGATGACTGTGATAGCTTCCCTGACCCACAAACCAAGTCAGAAAGTATGGGCTCCCTGTTATGTGAAGAGGATTCCAAAGAGAGCTGTCCCTTGACCTGGGGTTCCTCTTACATCCAGGAGGGTCGCAGTAATGGCAGATCAAGGGCCAGACACAGGTCAGCCCACAACGCCCCCGGGTTCCTAAAACTGTACAAGAAAATGCACCGCATTAATCGCAAGGACTTGATGAATTCAGAGGTGATTTGCTCGGTGAAGTCGAGAATAATGCAGTATGAAAAGGAGCAGCAACACAAGGGCCTGCTCCACGGATGGAGCCAGTCCTCCACGGAAGAGGTGCCTAGGGACATGGTACCCACCCGGATCTCAGAATTTGAAAAGTTGATTCAAAAGTCAAAATCCATGCCAAATTTAGGAGATGAAATGTTATCTCCTGTTACCCTCGAACCACAACAAAATGGTTTGTGCCCCAAGAGGCGATTTTCCATTGAGTCTTTGCTGGAGGAAGAAAATCAAAGTAGACACCCTTCTCAGGTTCAACGAAGCTACAAGTCTAAAGCCCTGGTGCCAATTCACATTGAAGTCACCAGTGATGAGCAACCAAGAACTCACATGGAATTTTCCGACAGTGACCAAGATGGAGTTGTGTCTGATCACAGTGACTACATCCATGTGGAAGGGTCATCCTTTTGCAGTGAAAGTGATTTTGATCACTTTTCATTCACATCCTCTGAAAGTTTCTATGGATCCAGCCACCATCATCACCACCATCACCACCACCACCATCGGCACCTCATCAGCTCCTGCAAGGGCCGGTGCCCAGCCTCCTATACTCGATTCACCACAATGTTAAAACATGAAAGAGCTAAGCATGAAAGTGTTGAACAGCCTGGAAGACAAGAAATGGACCCTGGCCTGTCCAAACTTGCATTTCTAGTCAGTCCTGTGCCTTTCCGGAGGAAAAAAAATTTGACCCCCAAAAAACAGACTGAAAAGGCAAAATGTAAAGCATCTGTATTTGAGGCTTTGGACTCTGCCCTTAAAGACATCTGTGACCAAATCAAAGCTGAAAAAAGAAGAGGAAGTTTGCCGGACAACAGTATATTGCACCGTCTTATCAGTGAATTGCTGCCAGATATTCCTGAAAGGAACTCATCCCTTAAAGCTCTGAAAAGGAGCCCCACGCACCAGCCTTTCCACCCACTGCCTCACGATGGTGCTATTCATTGTCCAATGTACCAGACTGATTGTGGGAGAATGCCTCACAGTGCCTCTTTCCCAGATGTGGACACAACCAACAACAGCTACCACCACCAGTACCATGACAGTGCACTGAATCTCCAAGGTGGATGAACTTTTCTTTCTTTTTTTCCGTGTGGTTCAGATACCCACCCTCCAGCTCTTTCATTTCCTATTCCCACATCTCATCGTTTCTGAGCTATGAGACCACTTGACATCATTATATGTCTCAAAGCAAATGCTTGTTGTGCCAACATGCCTTAGTATTTCTCATTTGCCTGTGTAATATTTGAGCTCCATGTGTGGCTTAAGGTAATCATCGATTCACAAAAATTTACTCATTCGAAAGTGAAAGCCAAACATTTTGTTTGCTAAGGTTATAACTGTTACATTGAGACAACAAATTAGTGATTTACCAAATTGAAAAGACTATTTCAAGCCAGAAATTGTAAGTGAATATTAGTATCCTTAGGGAGAACTTTCTTCACTGTAAAATTAATCAAAACCAATAGTGTAACAAATAGCCTTTTCTTTTATTTTTATAGAATCCTTAAAATTGTATAGCTATTCACTCAAGTTGCTCATATTCTGTACAGAAGATTCTGTATCAAAACATACAGGAGGCCAAACTGAATATTTGATTAGTAATTAACAAATAATAAAGATAGTTGGATTTATTTAATAACTTTCTCCATTTAAAGCATACAATCAGGATAAAATTTTTGTGAATGTATCTTTAAGCTGTATATGGGAAAGTCTCATTTCCATCACTCAATGTATTCATTTTCTCTTCTTTTCCATTACTTGTTTTATTTCTGCTAAAGCAGTCTAACATTCAAATTTGAATTAGGTTAAAAGTGACCCTCAACTTTGTTTTCATAGATAACTTTGAAGTGGCAACACAAGGACTGATAGAAATTCAAATGTGATGTTTATTTGAGGTTTACATAACCTAAAAACACAGATGCTTTTAATATTTTTATCCGATCCTTTTCATTACCTCTTAAAGTGCATTTTTTACTATGTGAATTTCAAGAGTCTGGAGTGAACATTCCAGCAGAAACTTGGGTTCTCAAAAAAGAGCCTTCTATACACCATAATACTTAACATACATTATCTAGTTAAAACTGGAATAGACAAGTGGAATGAGTTATTATTGTAAGCACTGTTTTATTGAAGACATTGAGACAGGACAAGAGAGTTGCTCAAGATTACACAGACAGCAGATAATGAGAGGAGATTCAAACTCCTGATGATCCCTAACTTGTGTATAAAATATCTCTATAGACAAAAAGAGACATCATTTAAATTTCACATTAGTGTAATTTATGTCTCAATTATTCATTATCATTGTACAAATGTACTTATTTTAGTAGTTTATTGTTTATCTTTGCTTTCACTTACACTATTCAACATACTTCAAATATGTAAGTTAGGATTTTTAAAGTCAACTTCAACAATTGGAAATTTTGACACTGAGACATGGCAGAATGTAACTTTTCAATTAGCTACCTTGTCTACTTTTCTAATACCTAATATAATCATGTCTCAATTTTATGTGCAGATAGAGTACATTATTGAAACATGATTTAAAAGGACTTTGAAATGCATTGCAAAAATATTTTGTTCTTTAATAAAACATTTGCTTTTTAATTATGTTCAGTCCAAGTAAGAAGTCGTTTATATGCCAAGTAATCTAAAGTAAAAGTAATCTAAAATGTACAATCATTATGAAATCCTTATATTCATAAAAGCATATTAACTTAGAATGAAAAACATACTGCACATAATCTTCTAACAAATGAAAAAACTAAGTTTTACTTGAAACATTTGCGGCCATGTCACCTTCATAAACCTAGACACTGGAATTCACAACTCACAGAAAGTTAGACATAGGTTGTGCAATTTATAGCCACTTGTAAGTAGTCAGTTCTCCCATTTAGTCAAAGTAGTCAAAACATTTAAACAATGTTTTCTTCTGATACATCAGCATTTTAAATTCCTTCAAAGATGGATAAAATAAATTATATTTTAATGTTTCTTGTTATTTAATATAATGAAATTCATTAAAGATATAAAAGAACTGACAAAAAAAATTCTATACCATAAACTACTGAAATAGTTTCAACCTCTAGTTACACTCCCACATAGAAGTCATAAAATGTGTAATAGTAAATACAAGATACTACTAAGGAATATTTGCAATCACAATTTTGTAATGTAATTATCTATATTTTACTTTAGGATAAACAAAAACCTCAATATTTCATTAGCCATGTGGCAACTGATATGACTGTTTATCCCTTTGTGGTTTTGAGTAAATACTTATACTTTCTGATAAGGTGGTTTATTGACTGGGCACAAGGGAAGGCCATAGATAAAGGCGATGACATTTTAAGACTCAATAAGTATTTAAAAATAGAAAGAGAGAGAGAGGCATGACACAGTCCTGTCACCATCATTCATTCTTTGATTTTATTTTTCTTTTTCATTACTACCTTCTTAAATTATTGTTTCACAAATGTTTCTGTTTCTACAAATTGCTGCTATTTTCAAATTCTCCATGCTGTAGCGGCTATCTAATAGTAATTATTAATTGGAATAGAACAGAAATAGTAAGTAGTGAAAATTATTTGATATGAAAAATCTCTATAAATATGAATTATCTACACCAGGTACTACAGTGTAATAAATGAACAATGAGCAATTATATTTACCTACATGACTATAATACTTCTTCTAGCTCAGATAATTTTCCTCTTGAAATGTTCTTGTTTTGTGTATTTTTCATCACAACTTTATAGTTATCAGTTTTATATCCATGTTTTCAATAGTGGTGTCTTTTCCACTTTGGAGAATGAGGAGTAGGGGAAGAGTTACCACAGGGAAAATAGCTGACCAAATCTGCTCTGAATGAATGGATTCCCACTCTGACTGACCCTTTCCTTTCCGACAGACCGAGAGTCCCCCAGAAGTTACGCGTCCACTTTGACTGACTTAGGGAGAAGTGCACCACGGGAAAGAAGAGGAACTCCAGAAAAAGAGGTAGTGCATTATTGGCATTGGAGTCTTTTAAAATAACATACTTGATAAAGCCCTGGTCAGTAAAACTTACACCCCAAATCAGTAAAGAACCCAGACTGAAACATGAAAATAATGAATGAGAAATGAAAAAGTTTTCCTTGGACCCTGAGCCTAGGATTCAAAGCAGTCTGACCACAGCACCTGTCCTTCCCCAGTTGTGCCTTTAAGTGACACCTGTGAATTAACATTTGTGGTGTAAAAGAGTCCTGGATCGATAGGGCTGCCTTGTTGAAGGAAGAGGTTTCCTTTACAATTTCTAAATCAATATAAATTCTACACAAATAATTATTGCGGTTAATTTTGTTAGAGAGGATCCCTGAAGAAAAAAGAAAAGTTTTAACCACCCAGTTAGTAGCACTGCCCCTGGGAGCCATGTACCAATTGATTCTTGGTACTCTGGTCCTTGCCTGTCCTGGAACCATGAGGGTTGATGGAAACTGGAAGCTGGGCTTGCCCTGACAGTCACACTAGGAGGACCTTACAGATGTCTGACAGAGTCCAGTGGCTGTGGGACATGAGAAATTGTCCAGATTTTCAGAAGTTCACTAGACTCACAGGAAAAGAGAATGTGGTGAAGGAATGGTTGATGGAAGGAAGAGCAATGGAGAGCTATAGGGTATAGGTTGTCTCACATAGATTCGTGTGCCCCAAAGTTTGAGCGTGAGTCTGTGTCACATCCCATCCTAACTAAGGTAAGTATCTGATTGACAGTGTGCTGATTGGTTAACCCTCCAGGCAAGCAAGATGATTGCACATATACTTTTGGCCACTATCCAGTCTCTCAGTAAAAACTGGGCTAATATTTCTTGACTAACGTGTTAATAAATATTTAGTAAAGGGGATGATGATGTCCCTTGTGGCTTCTGGTCCTTTTATTGTGATTCAGAGTTGTGTCAATCCACAGAGTTATTGACCCTCTGCAACTGTCCCTCGAAAAACCTTTGTAATCGCCAAAATTACATCTAAGAATCTTCCACAGGTATTTTATTAGCCTATTATGGCATTAACCTACCTTAGTTCCTAAGATTAGTATGATTGTGAAGAGGTCAGCCATTATATCCCTGTTATACCTTAAATATCTAAATGCAAATCTATATGATTTATTTTTAAGTTGCACATAGGATTTATAGCACTCGTGTGTGTGTGTATGTGTGTGTGTGTGTGTGTGTATCACCCCTATGGTCTTGTTTTCCTGTGAAACTGCAAGAAATTCAAATTTTAAGTTAATGCTGATTATTTACCTCTCTTTTCAGAAATTGCCTGCAAAAGCTGTTTATGATTTTAAGGCTCAGACATCTAAGTAAGTAAGATAAGTATTCATCATATGATTTTAGTTGGTTTTAACTATGGGAAGCGTTATAAATAAGACCTAATTCCCAATTCAACAATCCACTCTAATTACCTTGTTCCTTCAGAATTACTAATTAGGATAGGCTAATTTTATTTTCATTTTGAGTTTAGTTGAAACTCTGAGTCTTAAATTACATTAAGCATGGTAGAGCACAATGAGTTCAACAGAAAAAGAAGAATCTTTGTGTCTAGAATTTTTGTGTCAAGAATTAATTAAAAATAAAGTGATGTGTATTTTAGTCACCTTTCTATTGCTGGGATAAAATACCTAACATACACAACTAAAAGGAGAATAGGGATTTTTTGGCTCATGGTTTCAGAGGTTTCAGTCCATGATTGGCTTGAAGGCAGAAACAAAATGATAGAGGAAAGCTTGCTTACTTCTTGGTAGTCAGGAAGCAGAAAGTGAGGGAAAATGTCAAAGAGAAAAAGAGAGACTGAGGCACACCCCCAGTGACCTACTTCTTCCAACCGGACCCCACCTCCTAATAGCTATGAAATGATCAACCAAGGAGGTCAGTGCTTTCGTGCTCCAACCACCTCGCTAGGCCCCACGTCTGAAGATGGCTGCATTGGGGATCAAGCCCTCAATACATGAGTCTTTGGGGGGCACTTCACATTTAAATCGTAACAGGGAATAATTAACCCTACCTGGGGGAATTTGATGGCATTCATTTGTCTGGTGTCAAACATAGTCTGTAGCATCAATGACTAGCACTGTGGACAAACATTCTTGTAGTGAAATCTCTGGCTCTTACTGCTCAAAGCTTGAAGGTTCTAGCATAGTTACACCCTGTGGTTCTTCTGTGTTAGTGCTTTCCTAGTCCTGTGTGTGTTATTTCTTTTATCCTGTTTTTTTTAGGAAGTCCTTCACCCAACAGGATGTGGTTGGGGAAGGTTAGCACTGAGCACATAAGTAGACTTAAATAAGAAAGAATTGTGTAGATCTTTTGTAGTTCATATGCACAAAATTTATTTAAGAAACGTTGATCTCCTTTAGAATTCAATATTGAACTTATTGTAAATTGCCTCTAAAGTACACTGTTTAACTTGAAATATATATATGATCAAATATTTTATTTAAAATGCATGTAGTATGAATTACTACTTCAAGAAACTGTGTCTGGCAGAAGACATATTAAAAAAAAAGCCAAAAAAAAAAGAAGAAAGTAAACTTAGGCCAGGGATTTAGCTCAGTGGTTCTGGGACCTGTCTCGAAAGGGCAAGGTCCAGAGTTCGATCCCCAGTACCAAAAAAAAAAAGAAAAGAGAAAGAAAGAAAGAAAGAAAGAAAGAAAGAAAGAAAGAAAGAAAGAAAGAGAGAGAGAGAAAGAAAACCACTCAGAATTTGGTAATATTGATAATATAGAGAATGAACTAAGAGAAGTGCTGTTTAGAAATAAAATATCAAGTATGGTTTAAATCTGGTGTAAAAAATAAAATTCTAAAGAAAACTTACATCATCTTTTTGACTGGGTAAGTAACCTATTAGTCAGTTTTCCATTTCTGCAGCAAAATTTCTAAGACTTGTGAAGGGAGATTTATTTTGTTTCACGGTTTGGAGGTTTCAGATCATGATGGGGCAGATGTACTGCTTTTAGGACTCTTGAGGAGAGCAGCACACCACGGCTGGGAGTATGTGGCATAGCAAAGCCATTCACTTCATGGTCAGAGTGCAAATAAGAAAAGGAGGAAATGACCAGGACCCATCATCCCCTTCAGAGACTTGGCTCTATTACCGGAATACCTCCCACCAGGCCCCACCTCTTAAAGTTTCCACTACATAATGTCAAGCCAAGGGAATGCTAAGCCGAGGACTAAGCCTAACCAGTGGGCCTTTGGGTCCCAACTACAGTGCAGCATCTGCTTTGTTTCTGTGTACTCTGGGCATAATCACCTGGGTGTGATGTGGCAATTTGCGTGATATATTTTATGACATAAAGCACATTTTCTTTCTTCTTCATGACAATCAATCAAAAACCTTAAGCACATACTTCCCCAAGGAATAACAAAGCATATAAAATAGGAAGGGTGTCTTCCCAGGACTCAGGAAGTGTTTCATCAAGTCTTAATAAAAAACAACCTTCAGACGGGGGATTTAGGTCAGTGGCACCACGCCCGCCTCGCAAGCACAAGGTCCTAAATTCGATTCCCGGTACCAGGGAGGAAAAAAAAAAACCTTCAAAGAAGATGCTATGTGGTTGTGAGGACGGTGCTTGGGTGCTGATTACCTCACTGGATTGCGTGTGCTCTAGGAGCCGAGCCCCTCACCCTCCTCCATGGCCACATCCGGGACATTCGGGGAAAGGTTCTCCTGCATGCTGCCTCTGCCTTTCACGGAGGTCACGATAGGCCTTCCTACACTGGCAAAATTTAACTGTGTATGCCCCTAGAGAAAGAGATTAAATAGCCTGCCATAGAAGCTATCTTTCATAATTTTAGTAAGAAAAAAATTTCTCTCTCATACCACAATTAAGTTGCTCTTAACACAGCTTAGTCACATTTCTCTTGTTCTGTTCTTAGGAGAGGTAAAGACAGTCATCCGTCACCCCAAATGTACTTCTGTGTTGACACAAAGCTCAGGGTCCTCGGTGGCTTGTGCAGCTTTCAAAGGCTCACGTCTTCAAAACTATTTTTCTCTACTTAATATACTTATGAATAATAATTATGAAAATATATCCAAGGAACTCACTAAATATAATGACTCAATTTTTTAAGTGGGAAAAGAGATAAAATGCCATTTCCCGGAGGTTGTCAGGAGCCACTCTTCAAAAGGGAAAAAAAAAAAAGCTGATTAAAATGAGACTCTAGGTCTGAGATGAGACAGGCTGAGCTTTGGAAACTGGAGAAGGAATTGACTTTCCTTTGTCTAAATGACTTAAAAATTTTAAATGCAACCCTCTACAAATAGAAAAAAGCTCCTCATATTTAAAAGAAAAAAATTAGTTGTCCCTAATTTGCATGTATATTTAAAATAGTTCATCCAGAAATAAAATGTTCCTTATACAAACAAAACTATTGGGTTGAAAACATTAAGTATCTTATTTTGTTTTCTGTTTTTTGCATCAAATATTTCAATAAAAGAGGGAAATACTATTCAGGCATGGTGGTGCACACCTATAATCTCAGCCCTCTGGGAGGCTGAGGCAGGAAGATTGCAAGTTCAAGCCCAACCTGGGCAATTTAGGGACTTGGTGAGACTCTGTCTCAAAATAAAATATTCAAAAGGGCTGAGGATGTGGTTCAGTGGGAAGGGTCTGGGTTCAATCTCAGTTCGAAAAAAAATGAAGTATTATATTTGAACGTAAAGCTTTAGACTGTTAAGCTTTATAAATCTTTATTATATTTTCTAAAAATTTAATGCACAACAAATATAAAGATTTTAGTGCTTCTAAATGTGTAATCATTCTTTCAATGTGAAACATTTTTGTAAACTAGTTCTTTCAATCAATGAAAAATATTCTACATTGACATAAACCTCTGTTCATCGTATATTCTGCACTAATAAATTATCCAAATTAAAATTCTGAACTAAGCAAGGCAGAAAGCTTAGAGTGAAAGGTAGATATGTAAAATAAAAGTGGGGCCCTTGGGGAAAAGATGCTAATTAAATGCCCTTCAGTAAAGTATACTTGAGGAGGCAAAATAATGAACCAACACAACCTGGGCAATAAAGTCATGAAAAACTGGTGTAAAGAGGGTGATAGATGTAGGGATGAGTTATTCAAAATGAGCAATTTCATCAGAACTTAAAATTTAAAATGCCTCCTATACCTACTGTTTTTCTTAGAAAGAGTCAAAATAGAAAAAATTGAAGTAGTGTTTTAAAAATATTTTATTTAAAAAAATAAAAGATACAAAGAAAATAACAAACACTTGTTTGTGTCTTCACATTTAAAATATATTGTCCCATTGGAAAATAAAAGTGTGAAACCTTTTCTTTTACACAAATGAGTTCCTTATCAAATACTACCTCTGTGCTAACTCAAAGATCCACAGATATCTTTCTGGCATTGACGCCTCTGTCTTGAGACTCCCAGATGTTTTTTTTCCTTATTGTAAGCTTTAGCACATGGACAACAGAGGGGAGGGGAGGGTGGTCACTAGCTAACTAGCTTCAGGACAGAAAGAAATTCAATGCAGCATTAATCCATCATTTTGCCAAACTTCACAATACTTCAACTATAAAAATATAAACAAATAGACTGTCCCCTCTTAAATGTCATATTAATCTGCCTGTGATTTATATCAGATGTCATGTTTATACTTTTCAAAATTATTTCTGAAGTTATGTTATGAATGATTTCTAGGAATTTTCAAGGAAAATCCTTACCTAACTAAGCTTGACGGATTACATGTTGGAAGTGTATTTTCCAGACTAATGGAGATCTAACAAGGGTGTTGATCTTAAGAATAATTGCTATACATAAGGAAAAACATTTAAATACATCTCTTCCAGGGAGTTGTCTTTTAAGAAAGGTGATACTGTCTACATCCTCAGGAAAATCGATCAAAATTGGTATGAGGGAGAGCACTACGGAAGAGTAGGCATTTTTCCAATCTCATATGTAGAGGTAGGTCCTTTCCCCTTCCCCTGATTGTTGGTTGATTTAAAAGTCACCACAAGTTCAAGAATAAACTATTATTTTTCTTTGCAGAAACTCACCCCTCCCGAAAAAGCGCAGCCTGCAAGACCACCTCCCCCAGCCCAGCCTGGAGAGATCGGAGAAGCTATAGCCAAATATAATTTCAATGCAGACACGAATGTGGAGCTCTCACTGAGAAAGGTAAACTGGTTATTTTCTTCAGAGGTGCATTAGAAAAGATTGTAATTTTGAACCTAAAATAGATTATCATCTTCCTTAGACATTTTTGTATTTTCCAAAAAGGACTCCTTAAGGCTGACACTCTTACTTCTAGTTCATGTGCCCTTCCAGAAAGATATCTGTGTGAGGCAAAATCTGTCTGTGGTATAGCTTGGAAGCAGGGCCCCAAGTCCTCTCTACAAGGTGCTTTGGATGAATATCTCAGACTTAGACATGTGGAACATCAAAAGGAGACAGCATTTAAATGTACTTCAAAATATTTTTGTTCTGTTCCCTTATGATCCAACTATTTTAAAAAGAAAGTATCTCAATGCACACTTTTCTCTATCTTGGAATGAAGTAATCATCCTAAAGTAACAAAAAGTCCACCTCTCTGGGAATCCTTTTCAAATAGGCACCCATGTGATGCTATTTCCTTGATCATCCTTTTCTAGGCCACAGGCTAACCCAGATTTCACTAGCCCCCTTTTCAATCCTTCCATCCCTTCCCAACAAACCAGAAAGAGCTCTTTTGATTTGCTACTTTGCATAGTTGAGAATGATAAGTGAATTATTTTTATTGTTTCTGATACAATGATATATATTTGCTTGAACTAACTACTTCTGCACACAATACAGACAAGATAGTGTTACCGGATGTTGACCTGCCTAGTGGCCTTTTCCAGGCTCTTATTGTTCCGTTCAAAGAATTGGACAGAATATATGAACAATGTAAAAGCTTGACATTTACTAATGGTTTAAAAAAAGGAAGAAAAGAAGTTCTGTGACAAAGTGCCCTTGAAGAAAAGAGAAAATATGCCCTTCTTACAGGATGGGCCACTGCAAGAGAAAAGAAGTAAAAGAGAAGTGTTCCAAAGAAGGAGTTCCGGAAGAAAAGAGAAGAGAAAATACATCCTACATGCAGGATGGACCATTGGAAGGCAGAGAAACAGTGGCTACGTGCCCAATGGCTGCCAGCTTTTATATCCTCCCCTGATGTCAGATATGGCCATTTAATTCAGGGCTCTGTGCATGCCTCCTGGCCATTACAGATAGGACTCTATGATGGACAGGTCATGCTCAGTTCTCCAGCTGCTTTGCTTTGCCCTAATCTCCTGCCTCAATAATAATATTAATTTCAGTGCTCTGGCACCTCCCATGCCAACTGAGAAAGTTGGCCTGATAAAATGAAGGAAATTCCACAGTTCTAGGCCTGGCAGAACCTTATCTAATTCTCTCCATGTGGTCCTAATTCTGCATCATTAACTGATTCTCTGTTATACTACCAGCTATAGTGCTTGGTATTACACAAACCATATCATCATCTGTTTCATGCTTTAAAGAAAATCTTTTCCAGTGCAATTCACCAAGTAGCCCAGTGGTTACCTGCTCTTGATGTACCAGAAAACTAGTGCACTCATTGGAAAGGTTCACTTTTCTTCAGTATGTTCTGCTCAGTTGATGGTAGAGCACAGTAAATAAACCATCTAGCACTTTGACAAAAAGAGAAACTTCGGTGAAGATCTAAGCACCTGAACCAGGACACCTTATTCTCCTACAGCTACTGGCTCAGTGTCACCTTCATCACTGTGTCAGGTGCAGTTACCCAAACCTCTATATCAGCTCTGGATGTTCAGCTGCAGTTTTGCTATTGAACAGTAACTTGCTGTCTTAGTTCTGGGCCATGTGTGGTTTTGAATTAAAATTTAAATTAGGTTCAGCATGATTGCAGTTAGCAGAAAAGTAAATGTAAATAATTCTGTAGCCACAGAAGCCAAAGATTCTATTCAGATGTCTAATGACTAGTGGGACATGGCCACCAAACAATCAGAATTGTTCCCCGTGTTACAGTGTCCTGATGCAGACCAGGGGAGTGTAAATCCTGGCCACAACTATGGATATTCTAGAATGCTACCTTTGTTCCCACCCTTTATATTCACTCTTTTTTCATTCAGATAATGTAGATTAAAAAAGAAAACTAGTGTGCCATTCAACTTTACCTTCTCCAGAGGCTGATTTCTGCAACACATTTCAGGCACACTTTCTGAAGCCCTTCCTGAAGAAAGACATTCTATCAAATCTGACAGAAATAGAATGATGCCACTGTCATTGAAATGTTACCTTTTCAGTTAGTCTGCTTCTTGAAATTACCCACAAATCATTGCTCACTGTACCAGTATGAAACATGTATAAGACTATTCACACTAACCAAGTATACTTAGGAGTGAATCTAAAGAATGGATGGCTGAATTGCATATATGTTTATCATCTATATTTTTCTAGTACACACTAAGGCCTTACTTGCATTTCTCTGATTAAACAAAAAATTTCCCAAATATAAAACTATTATTTATTAGGAAACAATGATGGTTATACTTTTCCTATTGTTGTGCCTCTGTTTTTAATGCATTTTGTAATGTTCATTTTACAGGGAGATAAAATTATTCTCCTTAAAAGAGTTGATCAAAACTGGTATGAAGGTAAAATTCCAGGTACCAACAGACAAGGCATCTTCCCTGTTTCCTATGTAGAAGTTGTCAAGAAGAATACAAAAGGTGCTGAGGATTACCCTGAGCCTCCAATACCCCACAGCTATTCTAGTGATAGAATTCACAGCTTAAGTTCCAATAAGGTAAGAGGATACTCTGACATATTAACATAATACTCGGGAGCTTGGAATAAGATGCTCACTATGTGATTATAGGATATTAACTAGAACATCACATCTTTTACAAAGAAAGGAATTTACATATTATGTTTCTACACATGTGAGTGCCTTGCCAGTAAATATAATTTAAGTTTTCTTAAATACATGCTGGCATAAAGGATTAATACTTGATTTTGCTAATTCATTTTCAAGTTAAAATATTAAAAGAAAAAGAAAACATTAGTGTAGTAAACTTTATAGGATAACGTATCTGTATTTCTGTGTATATATATATATGTTTTCTAATTTTTTTCTGAAGCCTGATTTATATATATAAATTTTATTTTTATCATATGCTTATATAAATATAATTATACATCTATATATGTAGGTATAATTATAATTTATATACAATATATAAGCACATATAACATAAAATGCTATATATATAAATAATGTATTTTAAAAACACATGGTTAATATAAAGTTGACAAAATTCTATGTCTTAAAGCTTTTTTATGTAGAAATGGACCTTAAGCCAAATTTTTAGAGTCTGTAAGTCAGTTCATTAATTTTAATGAAAACATAGATTATTAGAAGTCTTCAAATTCACTTCATGAGTTTAGTGGAAGTATACACAAATTCTGTTGTTCAGTGGAACTCATAGCTAAGGATGGTTATCTTTCTCAATATCCAATTTGAAGGGGAATTTGCTTCCTGAATTGAATAATTTTTTAAAATTGTTCTACTTCTTACAATGTGAATTTTTTGTTATTTTTCTGTTAAATTATATTTCTTTTATGAATGGTATTTAGAAATTTCTTTCTCCTTGTTATTAACTGCAAATATAAAATTTTAAACTGCCAAGGAGTTACTTCTAAAGTATTAAGTACTTCAAAATGTATAAAGTTGCATTATTTATTGTTTTAATTGAGATCTAGGCTAGGACATGGAAAAATAAATCATCTAGAGCTAGCAAAGTAAAATGGCATATTAGACATTATGAAAGCATAAAGTCACTTCATGTCCCAGTACAAGATCATTTGAAGATATTGTCCCTAAGTAACCAAAACTACCCCCTGGAAAATGAATCTTAGAAGCATCTTAATAAATAAATGATCTAAGGATCTATCTTAAGAGAGACATTTTCTTTTAAAAGAGCTAAATCCCTAGCCTTATTCATTTTAATACCCTTTGAAGACTGGATTTCAAGTGCACATAATTACCTTCAATTCTATATCATTAGATAATAGAACTGTTTGGTGTTTTCTAATTTTATTTAATTGATTAAGTGTTCCAGAATCTTCTTACATATATTTACTTTACTACCAGGACTTAGCATTTAGAGATCAATATCCTTTCTTCAGGAGTTTCCACTGATAAAAGATGAACGTCTTCATCTATATATTTGTCTCATCCACAGTCTAATCAATCTTAAAAATTGATAAATTTTTGATTGCCAGATAAATCTCAAGTGACTGTGTCTTCAAATAAAATATTATAAAGAAGAAAAGCATGTGTCTACAAAGGCTTGTTTAGCACTTAAGAACTTCTTCCACATGCCCTAAGTAATACTGACAATATATTTTAGATCCTAATATTTTAATCATCATTATGAATAAGATTTAAGTGTATTTTGGAGCTTTTTTCTTTAATACAAAGTTTAAATAGAACAATATAAAAACTTTACTACTAAATAATTAGTGTTTTGTTCTCACTTCTGGAAGAAAATATGAAGAAAAATTATATCCATAATTTTTAAAAACACTTGTTTTATTCTAGCTGATTATCATGCTGTGAAGTCATTGGCTTAATGTAGAAAATTCATTAGTGTTCCATTAAATCATTTCCAGAAAGAGAAATATTATATACGTCCAGGTGATGAGATCCAAAATAAACTAAATCTACTTTCTAAAGATATTTGCAATAGAGTGAGGAACTCATTAATAACTTTTCACCACTCTTTTATAATTTAAATCACATTTTTTGATATTTTATCTCTATTTGGGGACACTCAAATATAAGTTGATATTACTTTTGATATATCTGCTTTTGGTACAATAGAATCCAATTATAATGTTTTTGAAAGAGAACAAAATTGTATAATTTTTGTATTATCAGTGTATTTTTGTGATATGTGTAACCTGAGATATTTATTTTGACTTTAAGTATAATCGAGTCCATTGTAAAATTGAGCACTTTTAACCTTCTAGCGTGTATATTGGTCACTGTGGTGATAATGATACTATAATATAACCACAGGTAGCAGTAATGATGATAATCATAATGATTATGATAGAATTTGAAGATCTTTCTATCTCATCCACATAATATTCCTGTCCAGGAGAGAAAGTGAAAAGTAATGATCTTAAATTACTATATTTAAATTACTAAGAATTTTAAAATTTAATTATTAAAATATTTTTGTTGCTTAACAAATTACAAAATAGAGCTTAAGCTAATAATAGAGCTTAGCTAATAGCTAAGTTCTGTAGATTATCAAGTGAAACTTGGGTAATTTATATTTCATCAAAAATTGATAGGAGTAGCTATTAGTGCAGTCACAAGCAACATGTACGATCTCACTTTGTATCAGATACTAAGCATCCTCAAGTCCTAAATCCAGATCCTCAGATGAGTTTTGTGACACATTGTAGCATTATGCCACCCTGTGATGAAATGATATATTTCTTTTTTAAAAATACCTAAAATTTCAACTAATTCCCCATTCCTACAACAATATACAGAAGTCAAAAGTTAAGTGGCGAATTCACTGGGTACATATCCCTACTGAGGCCCCAGTTCCAAGAAGTTCAGCTGCATCTGTGAAGTACTGTGTCCTAAACATTCATCTAAAACATGCATCTCTAGAAGCTTTCTTCAAGTATTTTTTCTTTCGAACCAATGATATCCATCTGGAAAGCATTAAAGTAGGTCTTCCACCAGCCTCTCTCAAGGTCTTTATATACATAGCATTTTTTTTTCTTGTCCACCAAAGATAGATTCATGTATTAAAAGTTGTCAGGCAACACGGCTAGAACTACTTTTAATGAACTTGCATAAAACTTTACATTTGTTTGATATATCCAAAACACAGCAATGATATTAAGATATACCAAAGTATATTTTTACTTCAGGAGATTAAGCTTCATTAATTAAACCTTCTTAAATTTAGATAAAATGTCAAGCTTTTGAGAGAGTTCATGAGTCATAGCAGAAGTTTACTCTCTCTGAATATTTTATGCTCCCTTTCTCTATAAACATTTACTTTGGACTTTTTTTTTTAACTTTGAAGCAGTAGTTATGTAAGTTAAATTTCATTCTGACGATGGGCTTTTGATCTTGAAAAATGTTTTTTGGGAACTTTCTTAGAAATGTGTTCATGTATAATGTTCTATTATGTGTTATAGTCATATGTTATAACCTTGCAAACATCAGTGAGAAAGTTGTGATAAATCTTGAGCATTCCTGCAGGAAAAAAGAACAGTAAATAAATTCGGGGAATAAAAAAAGGCTTAACAGTTTGTTTGCATTCTCCATTAACATTTTTTCAGAGGTATTTATACTACTGAATCAATAGCTGGAAAGCTTCAATATCTTTTAAACTAAAAAAGATAATTATTAAATCTCTAAGATTTCAGTTTATCCTCTATGACAACTCTCTCTTCTCATAGGACACTTAACCTCTTCCAAAACTAGTAGAGTTTTGTTGTCCAAGTAACTTTTTAAATTAGTATAACTAAATTTATGTATTTAAATTTCAACAAAATTTTATTCTACTCTAGATCTCTTCCAAATATCTTCAAATCTATGTCTATGCTTCAACATACAGTAATTTTTATGTTCACTACCATCCCTTTCCTGTATTTCTCTGTCTCTGTGTTTTGACGATTATTATTATTTTCTTTGTTCATTTTTCCAACTTCACAACCCTTGCTCCTTTCTAAGTTGGCTTCCAGTGAAACAGCCCTTCCTTCCACCCATAAAATGTCACGTGGTTCAGATGAAGGAGCCTTCCAGGGAAGGGCCCAGGAGTGGCTGTCCCTGACAAATGGGTGTCCACCAGCAAACAGTTTGGCCCCAGTGCCATTTTCTTTTCTGGACAACTTCTTGGATGAATTAGGGAAACTGAATGCTTTAACCTTGTCAGCCAGCCAAGCAAAACCAATTGTCCTAGAGGAGACCACCCTTGAAATTAAGGAAGAGCCTTCTGCTCTCCTCCCGTTGCCTCCAGCATCTGTACGCACAGGATCATCGCACTCTCTGCTACCTTTCTCCCACCCAATTATGACCTCAGCTGCAGCCCAGCCTTACAATGCAAGGCCACTTCAGGATCCCATAGAGACCACTCAAAACAAGTTTACAGATTTGAAAAAAATGAGAAGGGGCTTTTCAGGCCCTAAAAACTTTCTTGAAGTGCTAGGTGATAAATTTGTTGCTTCTGCATGCACCAATGTGGGTCCCTTGCCTATAACCCTCCCTGTCATTGGAGAGGAAGATGAGGAAAGTAGTGAGGGGGTTATGTCAGGCATCCAAAGATGGCGGCTGGAATCTCAAGAACAAGATGCCTTGTGGTGTGGCCATGGTGGTACAGAGGTAGCACCAGAGCTGCACATTGAAGAGGAGAAAGAAGAGGAGAATCCTCTCTGCTTTACATGTCCAGTAGGCACCCCCACAGTTCCCAGCATCTCCAAGGAAGACAGCAATGCAGCAGAAAACAGTAATGAGGTATTTCAATTTGGCCTAATTGCTGAAGAACTAACCAGTCTGACTGAAATTATCTAGGATAGTTAATCATATTAATAACATCTCTCTTAACACTGCCTTAAAATGTTTCCTTACAAGAAAAATTAGCATTATGTAAGTCAGAGGTAGAGGGATATATGAAAACATACCGTATTTTAATAAAATGATGTAAATACTACCTATGAAATAATCCCATTATCCATCTTTTTTAAACTAAACTCACATTTTAAAAGCTTCAT